ATGTATAAATGTTTAGCCATTCCGCGTCCTTCTCTAGAACGTATGAAAAGTAGACAAGCATGAAATGTTCATTAGATACCAATTAAAATTAAATTTAAATCGTAATTGATATTTTACGATCCCACCAGCGAAAAAATATTCCATTGAATGAAATTGATAATGAAGAACAAAAGGCAGCTCAGTTCAGGGAGGAATGAAATGTAAGATGGACATGGAGATACAGGAATCATATGCTATCATGACTGCAACTCGTGATGAACTGTAGAAAACCCCCCCAAAAAAAAAATCGGTGTAGGGCTAGCATATTGAAAATAAGCTTGGAGGGCTGCTGAAGAAATACACTGCTACCCTTACGCTATATTACATGGGCGAAATATTTTTCAAAGAAAAAATTGGGGCTTACTCAAGAAAGAACCAACCCTTACACCTTCGCTGTCAGCAAACCCCTTACCTGGTGGCAGCACTTCGAGGCAGCCCCCAACACCAGTCTTGCCCTGGGAAAAATACACGCATCCTTTATCCAGTGCCACAGACGTGTGCTGCCTCCTGGATTGGGCCTAAACTGAGCAGGACCGATGGGACATAAGTACTGTAAGCTCATGCAAGCATAACCTCTTATCATATTGCATATAACGTAGGAAATAGGAGAATCATAACGCAGTGGAATTTTATCTGCAGTGGAAAACTAGCATGTTTCAGTAAATACAATTTCTTGATTCCTAAACTTACGTCTATGGGCCTCAATGCATTAAACACGAGATATTAAACGTAAAAAATAATTTTATCTAAGAATAAACATATTGTGAAATATGTATTTTACGATAAGTATCACTATATTGGACTATATTGGACCGCCTCTGTGGTCTAGTGGTCAGAGTTCCTGGCTACAGATCCGGAGGTTCCGGGTTCGATTTGCGGCGCTACCAGATTTTCTGAGAAGTAGTAGCTCTGGAACGGGGTCCACTCAGCCTCGTGAGGATAATTGAGGAGCCATTTCAAGGAAAGAGCGGCTCCGATCTAGAAAACAGAGATTAACAGCCGTGGGGATCCATTGCAATGACCACGTGACACCCTCTATCCGCAAAAATTTGGCTCTAACTTCTCCGACAAGCGGCGGTCGCTCGGTCGGTATAGTTCGCTTGCGCACTGCAGGCCAGGGGGTTTATCACTATATTAACATTGTCGGAAAATCATACCATATTAAAACAATGAAAGGACTGTGATTGCTGCATTTTAAAGTTCTTGAATTGATCCAGAAATGGATGCTACAGATATTCTCAAGAAGTACGTCACACTGCTGTCGTCAGCGTCAGAATATCTCGCGGTAACAGCCAACGCATAATGAAGACGGCATGCTTACTTTACGATCACGCTGTTTTGGCGCCTCAAATGCTCGAATATACCGCCGAAATGTGGTAGCTTGGTACACAGGAACGCAGGGATGCTGCTTCCATACATCAGTTTCAGGGCCATAGCGACCTTGGGAGTATAAGGACCTCAGCACGTTTCAGCCCCTACTCGTGCCTCAGCTAAAGAAAGTTTCTGCAAGTATTTCTACTCCGAAAACGTGGGGGAACGTGACGGATTCAGATTGACTTCACCACATTATTATTTGGAACTTTAATAGTGGCAACTATTAATTTACAACTGATACAAAATAGATGCATGTTTCGAAGTTTTACTGTCCTTCAATGTAGTCACCAGCATTGTGTACAACCTATTGTCAGAGATGTGGAAGTCGTAGGATACCTTTAGCATCGCCTGTTGCGTTGATAGTTCGAATGGAGCGGTCAACTGCCTGAAGAATTTCTGGAACAGTTCTGAAGCGAATGCCACGAAGTGCTTCCTTCATCTTAGGAATCAAATTGAAGTCACAAGGGCTTAAGTCCGGGGAGTATGATGGATGGTACAGCACTTCCCAGCCCCATCGATCGAATAAATCAGCCATAGTTTGCGCTGCATGCAGCCGAGCACTGTCCTGCAAAATGATGGGTGGGTTCTGCAGAAAGTGTCGCCGCTTCTTCCTTCAAAGCTGGTCGCAGTTTGTTCCAGAAATGAACAGTAGTACTGCGCATTGATGGTCTGCTGTCGGGGAACGGTATGCGTTAGGATAACACCATCACAGTCGTAGACGAGAATCAGCATAACTTTCACATTGCTGGGGTTCTGACGAACTTTTGATTTTCGTGGTGACCCGTAATGACGCCATTCGTTCGATTGACGTTTCATTTGTGGCTCGTACGATTTGGCCCGTGTCTCATTCAACGTAATGATACGGCGTAAGAAAGCCTCTCCTTCGCGCTCAGAGGGCTCCAAGTGGTTACGAGCAGCGTCATATCGTAGCCATTTCTGCATTTCCGTCAAATCATGCGGAACCCATCGTGATGCAGTTTTTCTCATTCCCAGGCGTTCCTTCAGAATGTGAAGCACAGTCGTATGCGCTAATCCTGTCTCTCGGGCCAGCTCACGAATCGTAAGGCGTCGATCACTATCCAGTAACGCGGAAAGAGCATACACTTCTTCTTCACTGACACTAGGACGACCTGGCCGACGCATGTCTGCCACATTTTGGCGTCCCTCGTTGAAGGCTTTTACCCACCTTGCCACTGTTCTGTAAGGTAATGTAGATTCCCCGCAGGCCTCTTGAAGACCTTGATGACACTGTCGTGCTGTACGGCCTCTGGCATAGTCAATCTTTATCCAGCTCCGCTGTTCTTGTTTCGAAAACATCGTGACAACACTACATTAGACCGCCAGCTAACACGAGGTTCTGTTCTTCTCGTCACTGCGCATGCGCGTGATGTGGCAAGGGAGAGTCCATTACTCTGAGGTAAGGTAGGTATGTAACTAACGTGCGGTATAAGCGACATTATTTGGTTCCATTGCATTGCGTCTCTACAGCAGTGTTGCCAATATTAAAGTTCCAACCCTCGTACATACAACTCACTCCCCATGTTTCTTGAAGGTATAAACATAACCGTTTTTTTTTCTATATTGAATTACGATTTCAACACCCACCATGACACCTCACCTTCAACTTTCACCCGTTCTTTAATGAAGGCTCATCTACCGGACGCCACCTATGCTGCTCCAGGTATTGAGATAAAGGCGATATGCGTCTAAGTGACGGTAAAATAGGAAGCCGGGAACATGAGACACTCAGGTTTAGATTACGTGAGCGGAAGTCGATCCTCGGAGAACGCCGAAGGGGACCGGATTTAATCTTGAACGGTTATTTATTGAAGAAGTCTTTAATATTGTGCTCCATTTATTAAACTAAATTGTACCGTGGTCGGCAAGCGGGCACCAAACACACCGAAAATATTCCGAGCTGTGGCTTCATCATAGACGTTTCCTGCCCACGCTCTCACGCTACAAAGACATGCTCCGCCCCCTCACATGTATACGTTTCAGGGTGTCAGCTTGGAAACCTTCCCTGTCAAAACAACCAACTCACTGTCTGCAGCAAACTAAAAAAATCTCGACGATGAATGAATTGCCAAGTGAACATTGCAGTAAACTGATAGGATAAAAGATTATCAACACCGTCCAGTGTGACTGATAGTTTTCTTTACCCCCCTTTTTCAACTTTCATCCTTGACTTGTTTTCGGTCGGAGCGACCAACTTCAGAAAGACTGTCAGTACATGCGGAAACTACTATTACACTGAGATTGTTCATTATCAATACATACATACAGACACTACTATTACAATGTCATGAATATAAAATATTAGTCTTTAATGATTACAGCGATGTGCATCAATTTATTAAAATATTTTAAATTATTATAATTTACAAGTGCGGTTTAAAAGACATTGTTAAAATCTAGAACCAACTTTGTTCGTGTCCTTTGTACTGCCTCCCTTTAGAGGAATATCAGTGCGTGTACCGCCTCGTGGTTCCGTCTCATCTATATTCGTCATTGGCTTTACTTACTTACTTACTTACTTACTTACTTACTTATGGAGCTGAGCCCTTCTTGAGAAGCTGCCAATTGTGCAGCCACTCAAGAATTTCCCGGCATTTTATGGTACCCGAAGGTTCATTACCGTGTTCACAAGAGCCTTCCACTGGTCTCTATCCTGAGCCAGATCAATCCAATCCCTGCCGTACCATCCTGTCTCTCTAAGATCCATTTTATATTGTTCACTCACCTACGCCTTGGTGGATTCTTTCCTTCTGGCTTTCCCACCAATATCCTATATGCATTTCTATTCTCCCTCATTCGTGCTACATGTCCTTCACACCTCGTCCTCCTTGACTTCATCATTCTAATTATACTTGGAGAAGCGTACAAGTTATGAAGCTCTTCGTCACTGACGTAAATGCAAATTTAAATTTCGATCAAGTAAAAAGGATAGATAACAGATTTTTTAAAATGTGGCACAGTTCAGTTATTTGGAAACGACGATAACAAATCAAAATCTGATTCAGGAGGAAATTAAGAGGAAATTGAACTCTGGTAATGCTTGCTACCATTCAGTCCAGAACCTTTTGTCTTCTCGTCTGCTGTCCAAAAACATAAAAATGAGAATATACAAAACTATAATTTTGCCTGTGGTTCTGTATGAGTATGAAACTTGGTCTCTGACATTAAGGAAGGAACTTAGACTGAGGGTGTTTGAAAAGAGAATGTTGAGAATATTTGAACTGAAGAAGGATGAAGTGACTGGAGATTGGAGAAAACTGCATAATGAGGAGCTACATAACTTGTACTCTTTTTCAAGTATAATTAGAATGATCAAGTCAAGGAGGATGAGGTGGGCAGGGCATAGAGCACAAATGGGGGACAAAAGGAATGCATATAGGATATTGGTGGGAATACCAGAAGAAAAGAGCCCACTTGGAAGACCATGACGTAGGTGGGTGGACAATATTAAAAATGATCTTAGAGAGATAGGATGGGATGATATGGATTGGATTGTTCTGGCTAAGGATAGTGACCAGTGGAGGACTCTTGTGAACACGGTAATAAACCTACGGGTTCCATAAAATGCTGTGAAATTCTTGAGTAGCTGCAGATTTGGCTTCTTCTCAAGAAGGGGAGGTAAGTAAGTAAGTAAGTAAAAAATGTTAATGGCTTCCACTTAATTCCTAGGTAGCTCGAAAGATCAGTGTCAGTGTATCTCACATTCGCAAGGGTTTCCAGTTATCTACGCCTCGGGAATATTGAGTTGTGCTGTACTCTTCTTTCTTAAAGTTGGATGATGCAGTTTTATGACCTTGGCTCGAACCGGACCCACATATCCTTCTTGGTGAGAACGAGACCCGGAAAGTCGGCATCCGCGGAGGGCAGCGCTTCTCCAGGGGCAGCCTTCACGGTGAAGTTCTGCAGCAGTGCCGACAGTACCAAGAATATGAAGTGTCGAGAGAAAGTCTCACCGGCACACAGGCGCTTGCCTAGTCAAGTCACAGCAGAACAAAGCGTTTAGTGAGTTAAATCCTATACATAAATTAATAACAATATGGGGGGGGCACAAAGCTTCTTGAGAAGCTGGTGGTCGTCATTTGGTCAGGAGATTCCTTGTCGTTTGTGGAACGGAAGGCCCAACTAAGCCCTGTCCTGAAACAACTGAATCCAGAATATACTTGTATACTCACATACAATTTCTTTAAGTTCGAATTTAATATTATCCTCCCAGCTACCCCACTGGATTGAGATTAGCACTTTCTAAGGGGCCCAACTGAATATGTGTATTCCTCAGCTGAAGACGGAAACATATCCAGTTTCCCAAACGTAGTGTTTTCTATTTCCAAGAATTCCGGAAGATGGAAAAAGCTCCAAAACCCAGTAATCCTGTGTGTTATCCACCAAGGTCAGAACCCTTTAGAATCAACACAGCATTTATTACGAAGTTGTCAGAATAAATTACTCAGTGCAAAATATATTATATCAAAACAGAGAATCACACCTACCGCACATGAAACTTCGTTGAAATTATGTTGATGGTCTGAACTTTTGTGATATTTTCAAAATATTATTTGTTTTTTGTTGATTTGAAACAAGAAGTAGATGCGTATTAAGCGAATACGTATACGTGTATTTGTGTAAGTCTGGTGCTATGTTTGTATCTAATGCACTTCGTAACTTATAACGTTCTGTCGCAGTGACATAATTACTTAGCATAAGGACAAAAACAGCCAGAAGGCATTGAAAGAGCCGAGACAAGAATTACGTGTATATTTACGGTTGAAAGTTCCTTAACCTTGAGATAGAATAAGATCCTGCCAATCCAAATCACAATATCCATTTCCGTCGCCGAAGAAAATTAAAAGTTTGTGCACGCGCTAACTGCCAGCTACATAAATTCGAACGATATGATGATTAATGAGAAAAGATTTGGAAAGTTGTGGAAGCAAACAGTCTTGTTGAAGAAAGCAGTCTTCTGGGATTTGGCACCGTGTATATGTGGTGTTAACCGACGTTTCGGAGGAACGTATCGCCTCCATCTTCAGGGTAGAAGAAAAAATATAAGAAATCTGCAAGCGAAGAGACCGTGAGAACCGGTAAAAGCAGACACAGTCTGAAGATGGAGGCGATACGTTCCTCCGAAACGTCGGTTAACGCCACATATACACGGTGCCAAATCCCAGAAGACTGCTTTCTTCATGGTCACCGCCGTGAAAACCTCAAATCTTACAAACAGTCTTGTTGCTTAACTTTTGTGATCGGACGAGAACGGCTATTTTCAATGTAGTATGGTCTTTTATCAAGCAGTCTGATATCCTGTCATTAGCTAGGAGAAACTGAGGAAAATCACTAAAACCGTCAGTCAGGATAGCCAACCTGAGATCTCCACTACTAGAGTACTGGAGTACCACTAGAGTACTACCCACTCCAGCATGACGTTTGGTGTATAAGGTATCAAAACTCAAAAGATCACAATCTAAAAATTGACATTGTGAATGAAAACACTGACCTGCTCCGAATGGCAAGGAAAAGTCCTTGAGCAGTTCTCCCTTCTCGTCCAAGAACCTCTCGGGGCGGAATTTCTCGGGGTCGCCCCAGAAGTCGATGTCACCGTGGAAACTCCACAGGTTCACGAACACCGATGTGTCCTGCACCAAGACATTCCCTATTGAAAAGTGCGCCTCTGATTTCGATATAAACTGGACCAGAATTTAGAAATATACGTACAGCTGCTCACCTTGGGGATGTTGTAGCCACTGAGCTGAGTGTCTTCAGTAGCTCTGTGACCCACAGCCATTGGAACTATACTCACTTTGCGCATCACTTCTCTCAAGAACGCCTCGTTATATGGCAACCTAGGCAGTATGCATTCCATTATAGTGATTGTTTTATAACAGTATATGTTAGATGTGTATGAATCATGTAATCACCAGGACCATCACGGTCAGTTTTATTCTAGGACATATACAAATCCCGCACTGAATTTCTCATTAGAGGTGTTTTAACATCACTCACTCAATGAGGCCAGCCCTTCTTATGAAGCCTCCAATTGTGCAGCTACTCAAGAACTTTCCAACATTTTATGGAACCTGAAGGTTCATTTCCACCTTCACAAGAGCCTTCCACCGATCCATAACCTGAGCCAGATCAATTCAATCCATACCATCCCATCCTATCTCTCTAAGGTCCATTTTAACATTGTCCGTCCACCTACATCTTGGTCTTCCTAGTGGTCTCTTTCTTTCTGGTTTACCCACCAATATCCTATATGCATTCCTCTTCTCTCCCATTCGTGCTACATTCTCTGCACGTATCATGATCCTTGACTTGATCATTCTAATTATGTTCGACGAGGAGTAAAATTTATGCAGTTTTCTCCATCCTTCCATCACTTCATTCACCTTCGATGCTCTCATCAACGCCCTGTTCTCAAACGCCTCTCAGTCTATGTTCCTCTCTTAATGACAGAGAACAAGTTTCACACCCAAACAGAACCACAGGCAAAATTATCGTTTTGTATATTCTAATTTTTATGTACGTGTTTAAACATCATTCTCATGTAAAAGTGGCCGTATGGCACTAGTATTAGAAGATAGTGACACTGTCAAACAGAAAAGAATGTGCAATTCTTTGTTTGTAAGGGGAATAGGAAGGGGATATTTTGCACTATACAAAGAATCAATGGATGACGAGGCCAAATTTCATGAGTAATTCTGAATTTCAAAACATCATTTCAGTTTATTGTTAACGAGAATGAGGTGTTCTGACCAAACAGAATACTACATTTAGGAGAGCTATAAAAATGACAGAAAAACAACAGTCTTCAACTATCGTGAAATAAATATATCAACATTTATTTATTTTGAAAATAAACCATTCCCAGTTCATGATAATAATATGTACAGAACACTCTTATCTTGTGGAAAATATCACCAGTGAACTCTTATACGGGAATATCGATATTACAAGATGAACATTTTTTATGAAAATCGTTGAGCCATATTTGAGGCAATGAATATTTTGTGATTGAGCCCCGTTCATGGTTTCGTTAATAGAATTCCGTTACATTTGGGATGCGCTGGCTTACAAAATATTGTGACGTGACGCCTTAAAGCTGGAATAGTGTAGCCACAGGAGAGGTCCATTAGTAGGTAAACACGTTTCCGCGACAACGCCCAACAATGGAACCAATGTTGAGAGTAGTGCTTTCTGTGGGTTCTCTATATATATCGAGGATCTCATGCAGCTAGAATAAGAATTGAGGAAGTCTCTGGGGTCGACAGTCAAAGATGATTGAGAAGAGATGACAACAAGATAGTTGGCAGTTGCAGCAGAGAATTCGATTGACAGTTCCGGAGTTGGTGGTTGGCAGATGAGGGAGGAATCCAGAGAGTTCAGTTGAGAGTTGAAAGTCCGGCAGTGAGGAGAAGTCCTTATGTGTGCTGTAGTACAGTTATGTTTTGAGTGTGTCATTCAGTGAGACTGTTATAGTTCCTTTGTTAAAATCCGTTGCCAGAAAACAACTATTGGAGGGTGTAACAGACTGAGGACACTATTGTGTGTAACAGCGAATTGTAAAGTATGTACATCGGGGATGGCGCTGTAATTATCTTTTCTCCCGAGTTACGTGTATAAAGTGTCAACAAATTCAATTCATCCTATCCAAAACCTATCAATAGTCACAATATTCTAATACGTGACAATATTATTCGAGTCCATTGTCACTTGAAATGATTAAATATACTAAAAAATCGGTCTAGCCGTTTTCGAGAAAACTGGTATTACATGTTTGGGTAGCTGGAGAGCGTGCCGTGATTTTCTTCAAGATACTACCCATTCAGCTTTATTTAAGAAGATAGTTTCCTTAAATTACTAGAATTTAATCCAATCATTGTGCCAGTTTTCTGGAGAGTTGCAATTTCTTTCATTTTGGGGTCCATTCGAATGGCTACTTTGGAGCCAGAATGTTCGTATTTTCAGGGCAGTGACCTCTGGCCGAGTATGAATAAAATGCGTCCAATCATTCTGGCGTTAGCGAGGCGCACGCATCCACAAACGTGCATAAAGGCAGACAACATTCCAAAAACCGCTTTTTCGTATTTCGGTAGGGTTTAATATTTGTACATCCGCCAAAACAACGCAGTAGACTTTTTCAGTCACAATAATTTCACGCAGTATATGTATGAGAAAGTAAAAACGCGCCATAATATTATTGTTGTGATTTGCGCATGCATGTCGGAACATTTCTCCTAACTTTGCCAGCCGATGCCTGGCAGTTGACGTAAAAGTACACATTAAAGTATATCTGAGAATATTTAACAGTCCGCTGACGGTCCAGTTCGTGCAAGTGATATTTTCGGCCGCGCCATAGCTAAAGCGGTTAGTTGCTGGCTTCCCACCGCGGCGGCCCGGGATCGATCCTGGGTCTGGTCAAGTGGGATTTGTAGTGAACAAAGTGGTGCTGGGGCGGGTTTTCTCCAAGTACTTCGGATTCCTCTGCCAACCTTCATTCCACCAAATTCTCCATCATCATAATCACCCGGGGCAGGCGACAATAGGCCAATCAATGGTCGCTGTGCCTAGTGGACCCAGTTGGACTCCACCCCCCACTAAGCGAATTAAAAAAACGGAAAAAAGTGATATTTCCTGTAGTGCGAATGGACAGTCTGTGGTATGGACCTTTAGACAGTTCAAGAGACGTGGTAATCATTAGAATTGTGCAGTATGCGTCACGTGACTAACACGCTGTTGAAAGTAGGAAACAAGTAGTTGACGTCGACAGACGTCATACGGGAAGAGGAATAGGACCCCAGCCAGCGAGTTACTGCCATCAAGAGGAAGTGAGCAGCTCAACGACTAGCTGCAATGGTATTTCCGTTTACTAACCTCGCCCTGTCATCCAGGGAGGGCAAGCGGTCTCGTCCGACTTCGGTATCTAGCTCTTGCTGCATCTTGGTCTGCACCGCAGGATAATTGAGCAGGAACGCTATGGAAAAGCTGAGAATTGATGTCGTGACGATGATTGCAGGGATCAAGAAATCCATACACACCACATGCAGCTGCTCCTCTGAAAAAGAATCCATTCAAGGAAGTCTATAGAGCAACAAGCTATTAAAATTACCGTATCATAGTATCATTATTATTTATTGCTAGTGGAGTGGGACTAAGTCCCTTGTACTGGGGCCACTTCTGGCCCATTTTACCAGTCCCAGATGATAGGTGACGGTGATTGTGGAGCAATTGGTGGAATGAAGATTGGCAGGAGAAACCGAAGTACTCGGAGAAAACCTGCCCCAGCACCACCTTGCCCACCACAAATCCCACTTGACCAGACCTGGGATCGAACCCGGGCCGCCACGGTGGGAAGCCGGCGACTAATTGCTTGAGCTATGGCGAGGCCCACATAGTATCATAGTAAATGTAAGTTTACAGATATTATGTAATTTTTATAGTATGTGACAGTAAGACTCACCAGAGAAAAATGATGCTTCTTGAGTCTTCTGTGTGCTCATCTCCTTGAGATAGACATCAATGAAGTCCCGCATATGCTCTTCGGAATACGTCGCCTTGTGCTCCGTCACTGCTTCCTACAACAAGTTCACATATTTTTCTCCTTATGAGAGGAATGTCTACAGTTCCACTGTGTTGTGAAGAGGTGTGTGTAGTGCTATTGCCTGGTTGGGAGAAGTTCCTGCAGCTTCAGTGGGTTAAATGGAATATCTGCAGTGTTGGCATGCTAGAAAGTTTGTTTACAGTGGCGGTACGTTGGAAGGTAGTGTCTGCATATTCGGAGGAGGGTCTGCAATGTCAGTATATTGCGAATAGAGTGTCTGGAGTGCCAGCCTCTTTGAAGGAGTGTCTGCAGTGTTAGTATGTTGGGAATAGAGTATCTGGAGTGCCAGCCTCTTTGAAGGAGTGTCTGCAATGTCAGTATATTGGGAATAGAGTGTTTGGAGTGCCAGCCTCTTTGAAGGAGTGTCTGCAGTGTTAGTATATTGGGAACAGAGTGTCTGGAATGCCAGCCTCTTTGAAGGAGTGTCTGCAATGTCAGTATATTGGGAATAGAGTGTTTGGAGTGCCAGCCTCTTTGAAGGAGTGTCTGCAGTGTTAGTATATTGGGAATAGAGTGTCTGGAATGCCAGCCTCTTTGAAAGAGTGTCTGCAGTGTCAGTATATTGGGAACAGAGTGCCTTCAATGCCTGCATGTTCGTAGAAGTCTCTGCAGTGTCTTTCTGTCGGGAATAGACTGTCTGAAAAGTCAGCATATTTCAAATAGACCGTATGCAATGTCTGTTTGTTCGGAGCAGTTTCTGCAGTACCTGCATATTCCGAGGGGAATCAGTAGTATCAGTATGCTGGAAGAGAGTGACCGCAGTGTAAGAATATTGTCTCTGATATTGCACGACACTTATGACTAAACGAATGGGAGCAAGACGTGGAATATATTTGAAAGAGCGATAATAAATTACAGAAACGAAGTTAGACTAAGCTACTTAGCACTGCGCTCAGCCTACTCATATTATATAAGCAACAACGGCATGTGACTTCCATGCAAGGAGAACAGATATTCTGTCGTGATCACTGTGAATGCATTACTCAATGTCACAGACCTGAGTAAGTGACAAAAACGTCCATAGACAGCCGAATTCTCTGCCCGTCACTGTTGTATCAGCCCAAGCAATTGCTATAATAGTGAACATTCCCCTCCCTCCGCTTTTTTACATATGGGCTAAATGGGCCACGGGCCAGAACGGAAAAATTTGGGGGGGGCGTCATTACTGTGAGGGAAGAAAAATTTTTCAGGCAATGTGGGTTACCGGTAACAGGAATGGGATTTCAGAATATAGACTATACTCGTAGATGATTGAGCTAGCGGAGCGGAGTGGAAGATAATCATTGCTGCCAACTATGGTGGAATGCAATTAATTTTGGAAATTCATAATGGGAGATAGCCACGAACTTTATACAAGAGCAACAGTCCGATTTGCTGGTGATTTTGTGAATAGTATATTAGAAAATCCAGGATAATTTCGAAATTGTGATTTCAGGGGCGCGTTTTGTCTCAACTTGAAGATCTAAATTATCTTGTGTCGAAAAGGCAAACTAGGTGCCTTTCTCACATGAAGAGATTTTTAAATATGTAATTGATTATTAACTACTAAATTGTGAATAAGCCGGTCACGGTAGCCGAGCGGTCTAAAGCATGTACTACTGTCTTCGCTCGCTCGGAAGCCGGGATCGTGGGTTATAATCCCACTCAGGGCATGGATGTTTGTGTGCGTTTTTCTGTGTTTGTGTACAGGTAGAGGCCTTGAGACGAGCTGATCACTCGCCCAAGGAGTCCTACCGAATGTATAAGATCTAGAAAAACAGAAGTGAACGGAGTTCATGGAGGTAGTCCTAGGCATACTGGGGCTGTAGCGCCAAGAAAAAAAAATTGTGATTAATGCTTTCAGCTGAAGGAATTCCATAAGGATGGGTTGGTGGAAGCATTTGCTGATCAATGTCTATATTTCCGTGAATCTCATACAAGCAGTCTTGAGATGAGTAATATGATCGAAGCAAAAGGTTTAAAAGAAGTTCACGCTATGTTACCGCACCATGCAGGAACCTCAGGAATGTTTTTCATTTACATTCTTAATTACAATCCACTACATGTAAACGAACTCTACTACTGTTAACAAAAGATGATACAGAATTGACCCCAGCACCAGCAGACGCCAAGGACGACATCTGGTCTTTCTGAGGGACAAGCAAGCTGCAGGTCACTTGAAACCTCCAGAACGGAGCAGGAAGTATCCCGCTGTGTTTTATGGGAATTTCAATGCTGAACTCGGACGGTGCGAGTCTTTGAAAATTTGAGACTTGACAGATACGAGTCGCAATAATTTTCGAAGGGGCGTACCGAGCGATCGTTAGTATACCTTCATTTATTTGAGAGCTGTCAGAAGGACCGTCTTGTACTTAGGCCCAGATTAACATGGATCTGGTTAGGGATTGGCTGAATGCAAATGAGAGTAACACCCAAATTTTAGGTTCAGCCAATCAGCAAAATTTCAGAGGAGAGGAATCCAGGCGTTCCCGGAACCGTCGGGACTTCTGCCTCTCCAGAGCGGTCAGTCATCAACAGTGAGTAACAGGAGTGATTCGCAAAAAGGGAATAACAGGAGTCAGTCGCAAAAAGGGAGTAACAGGAGTAACCTCCCGGACGTTAAATTGGTGTTGGCCGAGTCCGGTGTACAAATTCAAAGTGCTACAGCCTCGTAATGTGTAATTCTAGTGCACATCTATAAGAAAGAGCAACAGTGTTGGTGAAGTGCGAGTTTTAAGTGTTTTCTCTCTCCTTGTGTGAGCAAGGCCCATTAGTCGCCCTGAGACAGAATCTCGTCCTACCGTCTGAGCAGTCGCAACCCCAAACGCCCGCCTATCCACGTCCCCCCTCCCTTTGTTTTCCCCATTCCAAATTCGTAGATTTCACCCAAGTCCACTGGCGCCCACACAAATCCAAATTCAGAGTAATCCCACACCCTACCCTGAACCGGACAGCAACAAGGAAGCGGCGGATGAAAGTGGAGACCAACGTAAGGGCACTAAGAGGGCAGTTATAAGTGCCGACCAACTTGTGGGGCTAGAAGTCTCACTGAGCGGTAAGGACAGTAATAGCTATTCTATCGCTCAAGATCCATCTATGTACGCTGGCTTCCAACTGCTGTGCTGAAAGACCTTTTTCCTGCCATGAATACGCAGCTATGGCGTGAGACTGTCACTGTGTTGTTTGCTATCCCCCAACGAAAGTTTAGGATATGAAGGTGATTATGAGTAATGTACAATAGGGTAGGAATTTTTCGGGCCATATTATTACAATTCTAGCGTTCTCCACGTGGAACTGGCGAACACCAGGGACGCACTATGCTATACCAAGGAATGAAGTCTCTTCCATAAGAGCAATGAAATATGTATACTACCATAGTCAATAATATCGTGGACTGGCCGCAAAGCGTCGTCGCAATGCACTACAGCGGATAGGTTGAGGCACGATGTGATGCCCTGTTATTTCATCTCTCGTCACAGCAAGAGGCAGTTGTGTGCAAATAGTACAAGCAGAACTACGGTCTGTTGTGTACTGCCGTTAAATGCGAGTGGCAGAAATAAAAAATTTGTCAGGTTGAACAACGGACAAACATCAAGTTCTGCCAGAAACTAGGCAAATCCCCTAGCGAAACATTTAGCATAGGAAGAATTTGCTGTTGCTACACGACAACGCCCGTGCACATCGCCCTGTTTTTGTCCAAGAGGAACTGGCAAGGGAACAGGTCACCGTTATGCCACGCCCTCCGTACTCACCTGATCTGGCACCATGCGATTTCTTTCTCTTTAATCGCTTGAAAGCAAAGCTACGTGGTCGTAGATTTCAGTCGTCCGAGGAGGTCAATGCCACAAGAGACGCCGTACGGGAATTTCCCGCCAATATGCTTCAGCAATGTTTTCGGCAGCTATGTCAACGTTGGCAGACTTGCATAGAGGCCAACGGCAATTATTTTGAGGGCCGATGTGGATCTGCGTAAATGTATGTGAATACCTTGTAATATGATGCGATAAAACCACAGCCCACGAACTTAATGACTGTACCACGTATATTTTCAACAGGTCTCTACACCACAAATTTTAAACAAATTACAGACCCTGAAATACATCAGACAGAAAGTCAACAAAGTCCATTCGCTCTCACTGAAGGAGCTGAACACTTCTTGAGAAGCCATCAGTTGAGCAGCTACTCAAGAACGTCCCAGCATTTTATGGAACCCGAAGGTTCAGTACTGTGTTCACAAAAGCCGTCCACTGGTCCCTAACCTGAGCCAAATCAATCCAATCCATCCCATCCCATCGCATGCTATCTCCATTTTAATATTGTTCCCCCACCTACGTCTTGGCCTTCCTAGTGGTCTCTTTCCCTCTGACTTTCCCCACCAGTATCTCCTGTACATGACTCTTCTCCAAGCCGGGATAGAGTAGTCGGTATAGCGAGTGGCTGCAGGCTGGAAGATGGAGAAGTCGGAGTTCGATTCCGGGTAGGGTCAAGAATTTTCACTTCTCCAATCGTCCTGACCGGCTCTAGGGTCAACTCAACCTCATATAAAATGGGTACCGGGGGCTCTTTTCCGGGGATAAAGCGGCCGGGGCGAGGAGCTGATCACTCACCTTCAACTAGTGCCAAGGTCAAGAAAATATGGATCTATACATCCACTCCCCCATACGTCTTCATGGCCTAGTGCTTAATTAGTTAAGAACAAGGAAAACTTTACCTTACCTTATATTCCTCTTCTCCCCCATTCGTGCTACATGCCCTGCCCACATCCTCCTCCTTGACTTGATCATTCTAAGTATAACTGGAGAAGGGTGCAAATTATGAAACTCCTCATTGTGCAGTTTTCTCGAACCTCCTGTCACTTCATCTCTTTTCGGTTGAAATATTCTCAACACCCTCAGTGTATGTTCCTCCCTTAATGTCAGAGACCAAGTTTCACTCCATACAGAACCACAGGCAAAATTACAGCTTCGTATATTCTAATTTTTTATGTTTTTGGACGTCAGACGAGAAGCAAAATGTTCTGGTTGGAATGATAGCAAGCATTACCCTAACAAAGCCCGTGTATTTTTCAGTATCCTGTGTAGAAATTTCCCTTGAATCATAGAACCCAGGATATTACAAAAATGAACTTTAACGCCCAATTACTTTTCCACATTCTTTCCACACTTCATGTGTTCCTAATGCACCTCTCCGTGTAAGAATATATGGATGGGGCCCGCAAACAGCGGACTTACCTTGATGTACTTGAGAATGTTCGAAGTTCCTTCCATGAGATCTGTGAACCCACAGTAATATGGCATCACATGCCTTATCCAGGGCGTCTGTACTACAGCACTTCCTGTCACGTCGATAGACCTCACGAAGCGAAGAGCTTGTCTAGTGAAATATCGCAAGTTCTGATGTTCATTGATAGGAAAGCGATGTCCGGATATAATGAACCACAAGGCATTGAAAAACACTGGGTAGAAGAGGCCGGGTGCCAGAGCGAGACCGTCTGAGAAAACCTCCTAAAACAGAAGATACGACATTCAGATACTGGACCTGGTCTGTCTCTGGATCATATCCTGAGCTCTTATCATATTTCTTGCTGTCACTGATAATATCAAGCTTATTGTCGCGTAGTCGGTATAGCGACTGGCTGCTGGCTGGACGATTGAGGGGTCAGAGTTCGAGTCCCAGTAAGGTCAAGAATGTTCTCTTCTCCAAATCGTCCAGACCGGTTCTGGGGTCCACCCAACCTCCTATCCAGTGGGTGACGTGGGTAAAGCGGTACTCCCCCATAAGTTTTCATGGCATAGTGCTTAATTAGTTGAGCAAAGGACCAACTATACCTTTATTATTATTACTGTTGTTGTTTTTAGAGTTTTCCCTGTGCTTAACTAATTAAGCACTACGCCACGAAGGCATATGGGGCAGTGGAGGTATAGATCCACATTTTCTTGACCTCGGCACTAGTTGTAGGTAAGTGGTCAAATTCACGCCCCAGCCGCTTTAACCCCGGTGAAAGACTCCCTGGTACCCACTGGCTAGGCGGGTGGGTGGACCCCAGAGCCGTTCTGGACGACATGGANNGTTCCCGATAATATCATTGGATTTCACAATTGATCTAATCCTCCCAGCCGCACTATCGCCCTGGGGTCGACTCAGCCTCTAACAGAAATGATTACCAGGAATATTCCTGGAGGTAAAGGGCGGTCGGCGCCTAAGACTGACAACCTCACCGCCATGTGTGAGCCGATTGTCTAGACAAAGTGTGGGAGTCTCAACGTCTCACAATCCTGTGCACCTCCACAGCCTGTTACAAGGATAGCTTTACCTGATTATGGTTACTATTGGAGCGTTTCTTTCTGCCATATTCTATATTAGCATTTGTTCTTCCCTTAATTAAATTAGTAACTGCATTTATTGTAAATAAATAAATAAATATATATATATTGTCACGAATATGGAGTGTGACTATAGACGGGTATTGGATTGGTAATTGGATTTATTGAACACGTATACACACAAATCGTATCTACAAGTAACCAAACCGCTTTTGCTAATTCACAATTTGCAATTCACCACAGCATGTACTGTGGCCGTGCCATAGCTCAGGCTGTTAGTCGCTGGCCTCTCACTGCGACAGCCAGGGTTCGAGCCCGGGCCAGGTCATGTGAGAGTTTTGATGGACAAAGTGTCACTGGGTCAGGTTTTCTCCGAGTACTTCGGTTTCTCCTGCCAATTCTCATTCCTCCGACTGAGCCACATCATAATCATCTATATTCCGAGGCTGGTACGATAGGCCAGTTAGTGGCCGACGTACCAAGTGTACCCAATGTCAATTCACCTCAAGAAGCTAAAAGAACTGAACAACACGTAGTAAGTCTTCTCAACCTGCTTTATTTTCACCATTCGTTGCCTGGTGAAAGATCGCATCAATGTCCTCTGCTTCCGTGCTCACGTTCTTCCCTGCCGGCGAATGTCCCACAACTAACTGACTTGGTCTGTCAAGTGATATAGCCTCGGAGCGGACACAACAGAAAACGCAGCTCCTCTGTTGATGTTGGTGGCGGTGTATTACGTATTGCATAGTAGTGACACTGTCAGCCTGGTTTCGGACCTTGTGACAACACCGATCTCCGCAGTTTACCTTACTGATGCGTGACGTCACCGCAGACGCGAACATGTTCCTCTGTTGCGTGTGCAGTCATTGTCACGTTCATTAAGTTCTTTATTGTGCCGTAACCCATTGATGACTCTCTCTTCAGTTATAACACAATATTGTGATATGACTGGAAGACAGCCATTGCTACGCAACGGCATGTAAACATATAAGGTGACACGAAGTTTGCGATGTGGTCCCTACCGAGGCTAGAATTCCTAACCGCGCCCAGATAGAAAATTCCGCCTGTCGTTATCCACCTTCACTTCCAAGGTGACTAAGGGCAGACTAAACAAGGATTTTCGCCCCAAATTCCAGCCTGTAGGCTGGATCTTTGCGTTCCATAAAGAAGAATAACTTAATGACTTATTGGGTAATATCTGGATTCTCAACAAGGACTCACCTCTGTGTAACTGGTTACTTAATCTTCCTTGCTCATTATTACCTTGTCCTCCCGTCGTCCATTGAGAAGGTCCAGCATATCTTGTATTTCCTCCTTCCCGATATCTTCCAGTTCAGCGAATCTCCTTCCAAATCCGAAGTCCCGCATATGTCTTAATGAGAAACGTCGCTGGTTCTCCCACATCCCGTCATCCGCCAGAGTAATCCCTGCGGCACGCATGCGCAGTATTCACAGAGGTAAAAATGAAGTAAAGTACAGTATACCTCGCCAAGGTCAAAAAATCTTTCAATGATTGAGGTTACCTCTTTCTAACGGAACCAACAAATTAAGAGTACGCGCTTAGCACCCCTCAACTGTGGACAGAAGCAGACCCAGTTTCCGAAAAGTTTTGCTCTTTTCAATACCAGACAGATTCCAAAATCCAAGTAATCCCGAGTTTTGCACACCATCGTCAGAACCCTGAAGAATCTACGTGTTAAATTGTGTCTGATCAGTGAGCGGAAACATGTATTTATATATTTTTTTACTTATTATATCAAGCAAAGCGTAGTTACAGTTTGTGATTTCCCTACTAGAAATTTTTTGCCGATGGTGCAGGCGTAGTTGCCTCTGAAATGTTCATAAACATATAAATTATCCAGGAAGTCGCAAAATAATCTTTACCGCTCTAGTAGTCCCTGTTACACCCTTACGAGTAGTAGACCCAGCGAAGATGACGGTTACCCTGTCTTCTTTCTTTCTTTCTTTCTTTCTTTCTTTCTTGGCACTACAGCCCCAGTGGTCCTAGGCCTACCTCCATGAACTTCTCCTTTCACTTCGGTTTTTCTAGATCTTACACATTCGGTAGGACACCTTGGGAGGGTGATCAGCTCGTCGTAAGGCCTCTACCTATACACAAACACAGAGAAACGCACACACACAAACTAAACATCCATGCCCTGAGTGGGATTCGAACCCTCGATCCCGGTTTCCAAGCGAGCGAAGACAGTTCATGCCTTAGACCGCGGTTACCCTGTCACTGGCCACTAAATACTTTATAATATTGTAACGTGTTTCGTTACTGAAGACGACGTAGAGATCGTTAATTGGTTTATTCAACAATCTACAAGAAACGGCTACAATTAATTATCACACAGTTGCGGGGTTTCACACTTTATAACCCTAATCGCATTAATCTGTTAACACTGTTGCGGGGTTTCACGATTTATAACCCTATGCACAAATCAGTTCACTCTGTCTTCAGTGGTCTACACGTTTACAGTAGGGGAGCTATGTATCACTGTATCACACGCTCCCAATTACACAATCACACACACGTCCGGATCTTCTTTCCGCGACGGCTGCTATACTCCAACTGTAGTCGGCTGACTGGAGAACTGTTGATAACACCCTCGCTCTTCTACTACTTAACTCTGCGGTAGACACATTACAACTCGGCGGCTGTCACAGTACAACTCGGCGGTAGCTCCAGGACTAACTGTGAATAGCCTTCGCTGCTCCTCATGTAGCCTCGATCGGACGATACAGAAAACGGCCACGTAATAAGCACCCTAGTTGCCTGGTGCTGTGTTGCTAGCAACGCTAGCGGTAGTAACCGCTGTTACTACCGTCGTCTCTCGCAATCCTATTGCGTCACCGTTACGTTACCGTGCGGAGGAGGGGGAGGGGAGCGCTGACTCACCCGTCGCGTCACTGCTGGTGGGGGGTTCTCCTTTGCGCAACATGTCACAATATATTCAGTTCGTACCTCACAGGAAAAACATTACGCCTCCTCTACAAAGGCTAACCGGTTAATGCCGTTTAGAAAGACAATTGCTGTTAATTTTGAGAACCATAATCTCTCAGGTTCTGACACTTCACATTCGAATTTAGGTGATATCAGTCAACATTCAACATCAGGCTTAGTAAACACAGCAGGGCCGCAGCAGCTCAAGTGGTTAGTCGCTGGCTTCCCATCGCCGCGGCCCGGGTTCGATCCCGGTTCTGGTCAAGTGGGATTTGTGGTGGACAAAGTGGCGCTGAGGCAGGTTTTCTCCGAGTACTTCGGTTTCCCCTGCCAATTTAATTCCACAAATTGCTCCATAATCGCCCTCACCTATCATCTGGAGCTGATACAATAGGCCAGAAGTGGCCGCAGTACAAGGGACTTAGTCCCACCCCACTAGCAATAAAAAAGATAGTAAACACAGCTCCTTAATCTTCAGAAAGAACTCTATACCATGTAACCCCTGTTGAAAACAAACTTTTTCCTAAAGCAGAAGAACTTAGAATTTCAGGCATAAATCAAAGGAGAGTGCTGTTTTGGCTGATACTCCAGTAAATACTGCATTAGAGTCTGAAGTAGGGGCATATTCTAAGCCGGTTAAATATATCAGATCATTCAGTGATACCTAAAAGAAGTCATGAACCCCCCCCCCACGAAAAAAAAAAAGTATATTTGAAAATTTGACTCTTATGAAATTAAATGTAAAATGTAAAGCTATCCCTGTCAGGCCATAAAGGCTCTGCTGTCCAGCTACGCCTGTTTTCTTGTTGTCTGTTTCGCGGTCGTTGCATAGAAACGCGTCCATACACCACAGTATTATATATTTACGAGGGTAGGTCAGTAAGTAAGTTACAAATGGATATAGAACTTAAACAAATAAGAGTACTTATTTGAAAAATGCTTCTATTCCTCAAAATACTATCCCTGTACAATGGAGGAACTTGTTCCATCGTTTCACAACCCCTGAAAACCCGCGGCATAAAATTCTTTGGGCTGCTGTCGCAACCAGGCGGTGACTTCACTTCCTACAGCTTCATCGTCGGGAAAATGTTCAGCCGAAAGTTAAGGTTTTAGAGGGCCGAACAAATGGAAGTCGCTTGAAGCAAGGTCGGGGTTATACGGAGGATGCTCGACGACTTCCCACTTGAAATTTCGCAGCGTCTCATTTATCTTATTGGCAGTATAGGGACGCGCGTTGACATGGAGGAGCAACACGCCTATGGTGAGGAGTCCTGGTCGCTTCTGTTGAATGGCCTTACGAAGTTTCCTGAAGATGTTATAGTAGGAGTCGGCATTTAAGGTTTATCCTTGAGGTGATCCCAGTCACCGCCTCGTACCGACAGCGGCCCAAAGAATTTTATGCTGCTGCTTTTCATGGCCTTGTGAAACGGTGGGACAAGTGCCTCAATGTACAGGGAGATTATGTTGAGAAATACAAGCATTTTTCAAATCAGTGCTCTTATTTGTTAAATTCTATATGCATTTGTAACTTACTTATTTACTAACGTACGTAGTGTCCCCTGAGAAGCCCACAGAAGTAAGGAGATTGTTATCACCTGGATTTCTAAATCGTACGACTAAAAATAACGTACTGAAACTGAGATGGTTTCATGTGCTTACGATTTTAAGTATCGCCATTAAAGTTCATATGTTTGAGATAATTTTTGAGTTATTCAAGAACCTCAGGGTATAAACGTCGGTAAAGACTGATTCACACTTTTCTTATTGCACAGGAAAGTTTCTTGTATGCAGATTTCTTTGAAGAGTTGCTGTACAGTGCATACTGCGGAAACTATGATTGTGCAGTGCGGTAAGAGAGACTTACACGTCTTCATAGGCAACCAAGTCGTATTCGCCTTTTGATGGCTCCAGTTTTTGCAAATATTTTTCATATATTCCGACTGAGAATAGCAAGCAATGATTTCCTGTGCTGCTTTGGTTCCTTGGAAATGTTCTCTTATTGGAATCCTCCTACCACTCGCTATCGAACAAATCGAAATACACACGATACATTTTATTATAGTATCAGTATCTCTTGTCGATCACAGTGGCCGCGCGGCCTGAGACATGAACCGTCTCCGCCCGCTCGAATACTGGGATCGTGGGTTCGAATCCCACTCGAGGCATGTATTTTATGTGCATTTATTCTGTGTTTCTGTTATTCCGTGTGTTGGTAGCGGTCTTGCGACGGGCTGATCCTCTCGTCCAGTGAGTCGTACATATTGTGTACAGATTAAGAAACTGAAAAAGAGGCTAAGGTCCGCAAGGGCTGTAGAGCCATAGATGGTTGGATGATTGAATGGATGGAATCTTCTAATTTACCTAGTTGTATAAATGGAAATTCGGCTTTCAATGAGTAATTGAAGTTATATTTTCTCTTCTTCGAAGACTGGTTTCACCATAGAGGAGACCAAATATGGTTTGTGTACGATGCTGGACCGCTGCACTGAATCACACACACACGTTCACACAGTGCATTATCTCAGGTAAAGAAGTTCACTACAGTTCTCGACAATTTCAGATTACTTATTTATTTATTCGGTTGCAAGCCGAATCGGTGTGCTGCTACAGTATCTTATAGTGGAGGCGGCCAAAGCGATTTATAATTTGATTACACGTGTGCCTGAAATTTAGGCCCGTTCTATTGCGATACTAACTGCAGACTGTAGAATTCTAGCGGTATCTTTTCTTGACCCCAAATTCCAACTTCCAACGTTTATTCTCATTGTTTATTTAAACATTCAAGAATTTAAAATATAGTTTAATCTAACAATCAAGAGTTGAAATTAAATAAAAATTCTTTATCTACTGCAGTAACACCTTCAAATGTTTATGTGACCAAAGCTGATTAGTAGCAAATTAACTGATAAAGTTTCTGTTATCAAAGTCTTCACTCCCTCGTATATAACTCGCTGATTTCCAAACATTTCGCGGTTTTACTTTTTTCTAACCAAGTAATCTCAATAGATCGACTACAGCGTAGATTGTCACTATACCGTCTGAGCTATCCCGGTTCCCTGTTTTTCAAATTGTGTTAATTTACGTTATTACTTATTTAACAAATAAGGGGCAAAATCAGTTCGGGAAATCTCATTTCTTGGACTGTCCCCGAAAATCAGGGACGAACGAACGGTTTATCGTAAATCAAATTCTATCGTTCAAATATTATGCTTAATAGAGAAAAATCCCCGATAAGGTTTACATGAACAAATACTATGGTCGCTTTAGATGAAATATAAAGTTCGTGTACAGCCCTACAACTGAAAGACAAACCTGGAAACTGGGCTGATATTGCTTGTCGAAATAAAGTTATATCTAAAAAGCTTATGTATGATACAATTCAGAAGAGATATATTCACCCAGGTTTTTATTGTATGTTCGCAAATTGAGGATGAATAACTTGACCCTGCCCTGGAACTCAGGTCTAGTGAGCACCTCCCTGATATTCTTGTAGTCGTTGACCACTACGGCCGGGAAGGAACCAAGGTATAGACCCAGGATCTTGGTGTTGTACTTCTGGGCCAGCTTATGAAACCCGATGTGAAGGAACTTGAAGTTTTTCAGCAGCAACAGCCAGTAACTCCCCCACACAGGCAGGCGGGGCGGACCTGGAACATCATCATGAATTTTGATCTGGATGCTTAGTGACGTTTCGCAAAACTCTACTCCATCTTTCAGCATAGAAATTAACATGCGCGGTGTCACAACTAATGTTTTCACATGTAGGCTGGTATGCGTGACGAAAATAACGGATTCTAGATCTGTTGATTGGACTTATTAGCACTTTATTTACAAGTTCTCTTAATTACCATTAATACAGCGATATCACTAATTTACATAATTTACAGTTCACCGTTGCACACGCACTAGGATTCTCAGTTTTCACTAGCCGTCGCCTTACAGTGGACCTTAACACAGAAATTAGAACTTTAAATCCCTATGAAGTCTTTTTGCTACTTCGTCTTCAGTCACTCTGAACCTTGGAATTAAAAATTCTTCTGGAGTCACTCCTTCAGATTGCGATTGACCCTAAACTGCCCCTGAACTAGCTCTGTCAAAGTCAAAGTCAAAGTCACATTGCGACTGACGGTCAGTCAGTGAGTCTTGGCTCCGAGCCTCATATTTCGTTCATGACCAAATATTTATTACTGTTTGACAGTTACGGTCTTGTTTCTGTGAGACACCCTCTCTGACGAGAGGACAGGCCTGTCTTTTGTATACGCTGCTGGCCCTTGGCAGCGCAGTCTTTCTTGTGTCTGAGTCCCTTGGGACTTGCAACCATATTTTACTGTCTCAGATTTGAAACTTTCCTTTTCGTCGCCTCCTACGACTCGCAGGGTCATGGTGGAGGTTTTCGACCCGCCTCCAAACATTTCAGTCACTTCTCTTATAAGCCTTCTGCACAGACCCCACGGAAAACACCGTCTCTATTGCTGATTACGTCACCGCTTATGCGGAAGTGTGTTTACCGAGCCGATGCTTAGAAACGGGTTGCATAATCCCGTTGTTCCACCGCTGCTCGGCGCGGATGACGTAAAAGACACAGCCTCATCTATTGTTGTGTGTTTGACGCTGTTTATAGAGCTGTTGCTTGGCAACGTGTTGATCAAATCCGTTACAATATAAACCACAGTTTAAATCTTGGCCCGCTCTAAGAAACCTCGAACGGCACTGTACAGGTTTAGATTATGATATTCTGGGTGGTTACCGAATTTCCAGAAGACACCACTGCCTTCAGCCCCAAGAGTTGAGGAAGCCAGGAGACTGTGAACTGTCAGTACTGAATGATCACAATCTGAATCTTCAAGCGTAAAGACCGCAGGTCTCACGTCTATTCTCTGAGCAGATACATTCGTTCAGCTGTTAGCGAAATTCTCCGTCATTATGGGATCAGAAATTTAACCACAGTTTTCGGCAAAGCAATCACTGAATCAGCCTCTTCGGTCTAATTCACAATTTCGTTTTTAATTCCCCCCCCCCTACTGATTGTCTCATTCATTGGTGCTGTTGGGTCAACGTGACAATGTCCTGTAAGAATTCTCTCCGTGAAGAGCTGCTCAGTATTTAGTTTCTTCGTTCTTCTCTTAAAGTTAATCTGTTTATGTATAAATTACTTCACACCTTAAAGAAGAGAACTGCCGTGTAAGTATGTCAGTCTTTCCCATTGGCGCTTAGCGGGACAGAACGCGCCAGAAGCTGATTGCAAATTAATTTTCAAGCATATTGGGCCCTTGATTTACGGCGGTTTGATATACGACGATTTGAAAATTTTGTATTAATTTCCTTTGCTTAAACCAAATTTCTAGACAATTCTATACTGCTTTTCCTCTTCCAAGTAATATCCCTGTATAGCGCTTCTGGACATATTCTGTTGGCAACCCTGCGTTTGGATTTGCACTGCATACACTCATTCCCTATACAGTACACTTTACATTTACTGTGTACGTTAACATTGTGCCTTAACTTTTTCATAAATTCGTGCTTAAAAATAAAAAATGAAAGTGGAACCATGTCTAGTCGCAGGAGTGGAAGCGTAGCTGCCAGTTAAAATGTGAATAAAGGATTACGCAGATGTATGACATTAGAAGAAAATGTGGATGTTTTTTTATACTGCTAGCGGGGTGGGACTAATGTCGTACCGCAAGGGGGTCATGGTAGCCTAACCCCTCGGGGCACTTGTGGATATCTCTCGCCGGATCAGGGATAGTAAGTGCCGTGACAAAAGTTACCAAGCGTGCTTAATTACATCAACATAAAAAATATATATAAAGAGATATATATGGAAATATAATGGTTACATACGTAAATAATGACAATTGTGCTCTGTAGCTCTCTCTGGTTACATAAAGCGTGCTCTCTTATTTTGTTCTTCTTTCTGTGCAATGGCAAGAATTGACAGTACCCTAAAGCTCTAAGCAAATATGGTTATTAATACATCAAAATAAATGCTTCTTTGGTTTCCCCTAGCCCGTCGGCTAATCTACTGGTTACATTCATACAATAGTTAAGCAGGGTCTAATATTCACTCGCTACTCGACCGGATCAAAGTCCGTGACCGTCCCGTCTCCGGCATCCCGCTCTGTCTGACGTGTCCCGCCTGAGCGTAGTGATACAACTGGGCTCTCTTACGTACATAAGTTCACTCTTCAATCTAACTGATTTCTATTGTGATACTTAAGTTATTTAATCCTAACCTGAATGAAATACAACCTTAATTCGTGACCAACGATCGGCAGGTACTTACGCGCCCCGTCCTTTGGTCTGCAACTAGGGACTCATCTCTCTCGCCCTGCGTCTCAGAGGTCCGCCTCGCACCCCGAAGGCTCAAGTAACATTTATACTGACGGCGTCAAGCGACATGGTCCAGCCTTAGCGCGCGTGCCTCCGCCCCATGTTCCAGGGTTCTTATACCGTCTGGAAACGAGCGCACTTCCGTCCTCATGGACACGTTGGGAATCGTCGATTCCCATTGGTTAAGTTCCCTTCCGTCTTAGCAACTTGCCCATATTTGATCCGCCTCATAATTCTTCCATCCTCTTGGGGAGCAGCTGACTAACGGAAATGAATAATCACGAATAACAGGAAAGAGGAACGGTCTCCGTTTCCGTAGTTAAATTCATCTTTCAAACTCAAACATGATTTCATGTTTCCTGAACTTTAATAAAATAACTTAAAATGTCAAAATCAAAATTCCCTAAGAGGTTTTGGGCACAACATTAAGTCCCTTGTACTTCGGCCACTTCTGGCCTATTGTACCAGCCCCAGATGATAGTTGAGGATGATTGTGGAGCAATTGGTGGAATGAAGATTCGCAGGGGAAACTGAAGTACTGGGAGAAAACCTGCCCCAGCGCCACTTTGTCCACCACAAATCCCACTTGACCAGACCGGGGATCAAACCCGGGCAGCCGCGGTGGGAAGCCAGCGACTAACCGCTTGAGCTATGGCGCGGCCTTGAAGGAGGATGTTACTAGAAGACTTGCGGGCGGCCAATCTCGTCCTTCTATTTGCAGGGATATAAATACGGCCCCTTCCACTGTAACAACTATGATGTACAGTGCTGATATAATCACATAGACAATGAAACCTGTTAGAAGAAAAACTACTACAAATTGGAGGTACAGGCGTGGCCCTTTGATTGAAAAAATGGACCAGTTTCTCAGACTGTAGGTTGATGAGTCAAATGAAGAAATATTCGTCTCACATAAAATGCCATTTGTGATAAAGTGAAGAGTTTGTTTGATGATATACAAGAAAAGACCGGAGACAGTGACATACAAAACCTCTACACTTCACGCACTTTCGTCTAAACAATTTCGTTGGAATATTTATCCGTAGGCCATTTCAGTAATCAAATCATTCATTCAGATAATCCTATGACAAATGAGATACTTCTATTAGCATCTACCATCCTCCTTTGATTTCAACAGACCTTTCCCTAAGCTTTATATACACTTGTACCTGGCGGGAAGTTCGCTGGCCGCTGCTTGCAGATACTATACAAATACAGTAGCAGTGTGCAACAGAAGGCCAACAGCAGAATCACAGGCGCCATCTTACGGATTAGAAACTCTGGAAAACTGAAATATGTGGGCCTATTCCTTACTATTTATAATAATCTGTCTTGGCCCGCTGACTTGTAAGAGATATCTGCTCTAGTGGCGAAGTTATCGGAACTCGTTTTGATTGGTGGAAAAAAAAAATCAGTAGCATTTCAACCAAGAGTGAGAGGTCGGAAAAGGGCGACTGCCCTTTCTTAAGTGTACTTCTTCTTGATCAAACACTGTACTGTGGAACAGGTTCACTGAATTCGGAATTACATTCAGACAGATTATGTTCACTGACATGCATTTAAATAACGCCTATATAAAATCCGTACATAAATACTGGTCACATATATTTCCATATTCGAAATTAATCTCAAAGAATGATATTATTTTTCAGAGTATGATATTAGGAAAGAACAGGAAAACCGGAAAATGGGGACTGCAGGTAAATGGAACGCATCTTCTGGTCACGCTGATTACGTCAATTTACTCAGCAAAAGCATCAGTACCATTAAGGAGTGCATAACAAGTATTTTTATCTCTATGGCTCTACAGCCCTTTGCACCGTGGCCGCTTTCTGGGCTTCTTAATCTTATACACAGTCGGTACTCCTTGGACGGGGATCAGCCTGTCGCAAGACCACTGCTTACACACAGAACAACATAAACACAGAATAAACGCACACAGACATCCATGCCTCATGTGAGATTCGAAACCATGATCCCAGTATTGAGGCGGGCGAAGACGGTTTATGCCCTAGACTGCGCGGCCACTGTGATTGATTAGAAATTATGTCACACGCTACAAGGAATGCTGGTAAAGGGAGAGAAACAAACGTCATATTAGATTAGAAAGTTAATAGAATTTTCCGTCCAGTGCGGCAACAGAGGCCACATCACTTTTATTATTCTTGCCTTACATGTTTCGGTTTAATTAAAACCATCATCAGAGGCACTTTTCATACGGCAGGAGACACTGTTAATTAAGCTGGTTTGATGTTCACTTTCATTTGTGTTATTCACAGATGTATGTTTCGTATTATTGTCGTAGGTTTTAGTTACGACGGCACTCGCTGGCGTATAAAAACATAAACATGTAAAATAATTGAGTATGCCAATAGGCTATACGCAGCACAGGAATTATCGTTTTTCCCACAGTAGATTCCTTATGTTTAGATTAAATCACTATTAAACTATCTAAAATTTAATTCAAATTGTCGTAAATCGTTGTTGGTTGTCAGTTCTTCCCGTGGATGGGAGTCGTCATTCTTGGTGTACAAAGGACACAGCACACACGTAACATCATAACGCATACAAGCCCACACACCACCAAGAATGACGAGTCCCATCCACGGGAAGAATTGACAACCAACAACGACTTACGACAATTTGAATTAAATTTTAAATAGTTTAATAGTGATTTAATCTAAACATAAGGAATCTACTGTGGGAAAAATTATAATTCCTGTGCTGCATATAGCCTATTAGCATACTCAATTATTTTACATGTTTATGTTTTATATGCCAGCGAGTGCCGTCGTAACTAAAACCTATGACAATAATACGAAACATACATCTGTGAATAACACAACTGAAAGTGAACATCAAACCAGCTTAATTAATAGTGTCTCCTGCCGTATGAAAAGTGCCTCTGATGATGGTTTTAATTAAACCGAAACATATAAGGCAAGAATAATAAAAGTGATGTGACCTCTATTGCCGCACTGGACGGAAAATTCTATTAACTTTTTAACTTAATAGTGCAGCGGACCAGAATGAGACAGTTCAAAACGTCATATTCATAATTCGTCATCAAGGGGCTCAGTTTAGAGTCTTCCCCTGTGGCGTTGCAGACGTGGAGCTTACAACAGCGACAACTCTGTTGACTGGCTTTGTTATACTCGTATTAAGCGAAGACAGAAATTGCGGATGTTTGAAAATACGTTACTGAGAAGAATATTTGTTCAACGAGAAGGTCGGAAACTGAATAATGAGGAGTTTCATATTGTCTACTGTTAAGTAATTCTTTACGTTAATCAAGCAAAAGAATATGTGAAGGGTGTAGCATGCAACCCGCACGGAACACATAAAAATATATGGAAAAGACACAAGCTGGAACACTTAGGTGTAGATGGGAGAAAAGAGCTCAAACTAATCACAAAGAAATAAAGTTGGAGGGTGGTTGAAGCTAGAAACAGATAGCTGGTTCTTCTGAACACGGTACTGAACATTCGGTTTCCGTGAAAGAACATGAAATCCTGAGAAAAGGCTCTGCTTCGTGGAGCCAAGTGACACTGATACTGGAGACAGAAGGAAACGTATCATTGTCATATGCTCTCAATTGATCAAGCCGTAAGGCAGGTCAGTGTCCAACTGATCTTTGACGTTTGATCCCAACCCAAATACAAATAAGTTATGTCTTGAGATGCTATCACTACCCTCTCATTTTCTATAGTCTGACATGGAACACAGCAGTTCAAAGCCCCAGCGTTCCGCTACGTTTGTCCAGAGGGCTGTAATCAAATATTTCACTGATGTCATGAAAAGCTTTGGGGTACCGTATGTCTTATGTCCTGCGGCTAAGTCCACTCTTAAGTATCCTGAAGTGTAACTAACTACAAACATCAAACTTCTGAAAATTGGTGGGGTAACAGCCAATCAATCCAGAGCTGAAATATGGACGAAATGGCAGATGCGTGTATGGACAAATATGATATTCACATTAAACAAAAATTTCCACATTCGGTGGTACAGAAAATCCGGAAGCTTCAGTATCTTGCAACTTTTGGCGCTTAAGTAGATTAAGTTTAAACTTCAGTTACGATACACAAGGTAAACTAAAACTTAAAGGTAGTTTAAGTTACCATAAAACTGATATAAGCAGCACTAAAGAAAATGACAAGGTATAGACAATATAACTCCAGTGTAACTTGCTTCTGGTTCCCAGTGTCTCTTGAGTACTGCGACACGTTTAACGTGGCTGTTTGGTCGAAAGGTCGAATATACGGAAGGTTGACACTAAGGTACGGGGGTCATTGTACAAGCCAGTGAACACAATTATTGTGTCGCCGGACACTATCCGTCTTTCTGTTGTTATTGTTTCCGAGACTGGATTCTGTCTCCGTCTTCAGGTGGAGAACAATTATATCAATGTAACTTCTTCACAGACTTTTAAAGGAGTAAATAATTTAGACGAATGGGTGGAAAGCTGAGCAGAATGGCGGGTTAGCGTTGATGCGGGGAATTAATGGAACTTGAAATAAACATTCTGAAATGAAAGAAGCGTGGCAGAAATGTCGTAAGGTACGACGGAAAATGTTACATTTTGATGGAATCTAAATCGAATAAAGATTAAAAATTATTAAGCTTTTTTTATAATTCAGTCCTGCTTTTCCCTTTCTCTTCAGCCCAGATATTCCACTCAGCACTGTTTTCAACACACCAAATATACTTACAGACGTATCCTTGAATTTAACAGAATATCATCTTTGAACCCTTGTGTATTTTTATAGATATTGTGACATGACGCCCGAAAGCCGGAATAACGAAGACAGAATAGACGTTTATTGTTAGGCAACGACTCGGTAAACACATTCCCGCGGCAATGAACATGCATGCAACACCCAAATAACTTCAGTTGCTAAGTAACGGCGCTGTAAACACGCCTTTCCAACAATAGAGAGACTCTTTTCTGCGTGGTCCGTGCAAACTGATTATCAAGAAGAGTTCAGAATCTGGCAGGAGCAACCCGTGTGGGGGTGGGGTCAAATACCTCCACCGTGACCCTGCGAGTCGTAGGAGGCGACGAAATGGGAAGTCTCATATCTGAGACAGTAAAATATGGTCGTGAGTCTCAACAGAATCAGATCCGAGAGAGACTGCGCTGGCAAAGACCAGCAGCATATAAAAAAAGACAGACCCGTCCTCTCGTCAGAGCGGGCGCCCAACAAACACAAGGCGGTAAATGTCAAACAGTAACAAATATGTGATCGTCAAGACTTACTGACTGACTGACCGTCAGTCGCAGTGTGATTTTGACTTTCGGCAGGAGAAGCATAGAGAGGAGTAGAGTGGAGACGAGTAGTGTTTCGAGACGCTATCCTGCCAGGACACTGAACTGAGTTGGCATTTGCAGAATAAAGGCAAGAAAAAAAATTATGCTGTGAACAGAAGACTTCGTATGTGATTTGAACTGACAGTGAGCCTGTTATAAATCCGTTGCCAGGATGCGACTAGTGAAGACTGAGAACCGTAGTGCGAGTGCAACGGTGAACTGTAAAATGTGTAGCTCAGCAATAGCGCTCTATTCTGTGTAATCCCGAGTTTTGTGTATAAGGTGCCAATAAAACTAATCATCCAATGCAAAAACTGTCTAACAAGTCACGCTTGCACCCCTACGTGTGACAATATTAATGTTTGTACAATATTTCTATGGAGCTTGGCCGCGTTATGAGTGTCAACGCAAACAGGGCCCCGCCGCTAAGATAGGTCTGTAGAGTATTTTCAGTCGGCATGTATATATATAGGGAGATTTTTTTCTGTGTAGACCGGGTGCACGGCACTACGTTTCATAGCGACCGGTTCACCGCCGGCCGCGAGGTGCGTGCGAATTTTGCCGATAAATCAGCATGTCTGGCGGCCGATAACGTTCGAAATGAATCAGTTACAGTTCACAAATCATAGGAGGTGTTGAAAATGCCATCTTCTCTACACGTGTATATTTTTTGCAATCGTTTCATTAAAAAACACAGGTACAACATTCCTTCCTGCACTTGACAGCACATCAGACACCAACTTTCAGTGGTTGGCTTCATCAACCGTGTTGCCCTTTTTGCACTAGACTTTGACACTCCAGTATCTTGAACTAGACGTCAGTGAATATCTAGGTGCTTGCTCAAGTCTGGTCACTATGGCATCTATAAGTAACTTCGTCTCAGCAAGCCCTCGGCGCTTAGCTTTTTTTTTTCATGTCTCCTAAGAGTCCCGTTGCTCTAAGTTTATACACAAAATTGTGATTTTTTGTCTGCTGAGAGCTGTTTCATCGCGAAAAT